ATTCTCACACATGGAACATTCTCACACATGCAACATTATCTGACATGCAACATTCTCACACATGCAACATTCTCACACATGCAACATTCTCACACATGCAACATTATCTGACATGCAACATTCTCACACATGCAACATTCTCACACATGCAACATTATCTGACACGCAAACATTCTCAACATGGAACATTCTCACACACGCAACATTCTCACACATGCAACATTCTCACACATGCAACATTCTCACACATGCAACATTATCTGACATGCAACATTCTCACACATGCAACATTCTCACACATGCAACATTATCTGACATGCAACATTCTCACACATGGAACATTCTCACACATGCAACATTATCTGACATGCAACATTCTCACACATGCAACATTCTCACACATGCAACATTATCTGACATGCAACATTCTCACACATGCAACATTCTCACACATGCAACATTATCTGACATGCAACATTCTCACACATGCAACATTCTCACACATGCAACATTATCTGACATGCAACATTCTCACACATGCAACATTCTCACACAGGGAAAACATTCTCACACACGCAACATTCTCACACATGCAACATTCTCACACATGCAACATTCTCACACATGCAACATTCTCACACACGCAACATTCTCACACATGCAACATTCTCACACATGCAACATTCTCACACATGGAACATTCTCACCCCATGCAACATTCTCACACATGCAACATTCTCACACATGCAACATTATCTGACATGCAACATTCTCACACATGCAACATTCTCACACATGCAACATTATCTGACATGCAACATTCTCACACATGGAACATCTCACACATGCAACATTATCTGACATGCAACATTCTCACACATGCAACATTCTCACACATGCAACATTATCTGACATGCAACATTCTCACACATGCAACATTCTCACACATGCAACATTATCTGACATGCAACATTCTCACACATGCAACATTCTCACACATGCAACATTATCTGACATGCAACATTCTCACACATGCAACATTCTCACACATGGAACATTCTCACACACGCAACATTCTCACACATGCAACATTCTCACACATGCAACATTCTCACACATGCAACATTCTCACACACGCAACATTCTCACACATGCAACATTCTCACACATGCAACATTCTCACACATGGAACATTCTCACACATGCAACATTCTCACACATGGAACATTCTCACACATGCAACATTATCTGACATGCAACATTCTCACACATGCAACATTCTCACACATGCAACATTCTCACACATGCAACATTATCTGACATGCAACATTCTCACACATGCAACATTCTCACACATGCAACATTATCTGACACGCAACATTCTCACACATGGAACATTCTCACACACGCAACATTCTCACACATGCAACATTCTCACACATGCAACATTCTCACACATGCAAATTATCTGAATGCAACATTCTCACACATGCAACATTCTCACACATGCAACATTATCTGACATGCAACATTCTCACACATGGAACATTCTCACACATGCAACATTATCTGACATGCAACATTCTCACACATGCAACATTCTCACACATGCAACATTATCTGACATGCAACATTCTCACACATGAAAACATTCTACACATGCAACATTATCTGACATGCAACATTCTCACACATGCAACATTCTCACACATGCAACATTATCTGACATGCAACATTCTCACACATGCAACATTCTCACACATGGAACATTCTCACACACGCAACATTCTCACACATGCAACATTCTCACACTGCAACATTCTCACACATGCAACATTCTCACACACGCAACATTCTCACACATGCAACATTCTCACACATGCAACATTCTCACACATGGAACATTCTCACACATGCAACATTCTCACACATGCAACATTCTCACACATGCAACATTCTCACACATGCAACATTCTCACACATGCAACATTCTCACACATGCAACATTCTCACACATGCAGCATTCTCATACATGGAACATTCTCACACATGCAACATTCTCACACATGCAACATTCTCACACATGCAACATTCTCACACATGCAACATTCTCACACATGCAACATTCTCACACATGCAACATTATCTGACATGCAACATTCTCACACATGGAACATTCTCACACACGCAACATTCTCACACATGCAACATTCTCACACATGCAACATTCTCACACATGCAATATTCTCACACACGCAACATTCTCACACATGCAACATTCTCACACATGCAACATTCTCCCCACATGGAACATTCTCACACATGCAACATTCTCACACATGCAACATTCTCACACATGCAACATTCTCACACATGCAACATTCTCACACATGCAACATTCTCACACATGCAACATTCTCACACATACAACATTCTCACACATGGAACATTCTCACACATGCAACATTCTCACACATGCAACATTCTCACACATGCAACATTCTCACACATGCAACATTCTCACACATGCAACATTCTCACACATGCAACGTTATCTGACATGCAACATTCTCACACATGGAACATTCTCACACATGCAACATTATCTGACATGCAACATTCTCACACATGGAACATTCTCACACATGCAACATTATCTGACATGCAACATTCTCACACACGCAACATTCTCACACATGCAACATTCTCACACATGGAACATTCTCACACATGCAACATTATCTGACACGCAACATTCTCACACACGCAACATTCTCACACACGCAACATTCTCACACACGCAACATTCTCACACACGCAACATTCTCACACACGCAACATTCTCACACACGCAACATTCTCACACATGCAACATTCTCATATATGCAACATTTCCACACATGCAACATTCCCACACATTCAACATTCTCACACATGCAATATTTCCACACATGCAACATACCCACACATGCAACATACCCACACATGCAACATACCCACACATGCAACATACCCACACATGCAACATACCCACACATGCAACATACCCACACATGCAAACATACCCACACACATGCAGCATTCCCACACATGCAACATATTTTGACTTGCAGCATTCTCACACATACAACATTCCCACACATGAAACATTCCCACACATGCAACATTCCCACACATTCAACATTCCCACACATTGAAACATTCCCACGCATGCAACATTCCCACACATGCAACATTCCCACACATTCAACATTCTCACATATGCAACATTCCCACACATGCAACATTCCCACACATGCAACATTCCCACACATGCAACATTCTCACATATGCAACATTCCCACACATGCAACATTCCCACACATGCAACATTCCCACACATGCAACAGAGTTTAGATTCTCACGGTGCAGCTCATCATCACAGCTGTGATGATGAGCTGTTATCATACGTAGTAACACATGTGTGCTGTTTAAGACATATGTGCAACAGTTGTGTGATCTTTATTGCTGAAATGTTTCGTCTACACAGTAGACTTCTTCAGTCATGAAAAGTATTTGGGGTGGTCAGTCTCCCTCATCTTCGTCAGTATTTAATCTCATACTTCAGCTTCACGTCGTTCCAGACCATGGTGCTGAACTCTTCTCCAGGCTGAGGGACTGACCACCTTGTTCCAGACCATGAAGCTGGACTCTTCTCCAGGCTGAGGGACTGAGCACCTTGTTCCAGACCATGGAGCTGAACTCTTCTCCAGGCTGAGGGACTGACCACCTTGTTCCAGACCATGGAGCCGGACTCTTCTCCAGGCTGAGGGACTGACCACCTAGTTCCAGACCATGAAGCTGGACTCTTCTCTAGGCTGAGGGACTGACCACCTTGTTCCAGACCATGGAGCTGAACTCTTCTCCAGGCTGAGGGACTGACCACCTTGTTCCAGACCATGGAGCTCTACTCTTCTCCAGGCTGAGGGACTGACCACCTTGTTCCAGACCATGGAGCTCTACTCTTCTCCAGGCTGAGGGACTGACCACCTTGTTCCAGACCATGGAGCTCTACTCTTCTCCAGGCTGAGGGACTGACCACCTTGTTCCAGACCATGGAGCTAAACTCTTCTCCAGGCTGAGGGACTGACCACCTTGTTCCAGACCATGGAGCTGAACTCTTCTCCAGGCTGAGGAACTGACCACCTTGTTCCAGACCATGAAGCTGAACTCTTCTCCAGGCTGAGGAACTGACCACCTTGTTCCAGACCATGGAGCTGAACTCTTCTCCAGGCTGAGGAACTGACCACCTTGTTCCAGACCATGAAGCTGAACTCTTCTCCAGGCTGAGGAACTGACCACCTTGTTCCAGACCATGGAGCTGAACTCTTCTCCAGGCTGAGGAACTGACCACCTTGTTCCAGACCATGGAGCTGAACTCTTCTCCAGGCTGAGGAACTGACCACCTTGTTCCAGACCATGGAGCTGAACTCTTCTCCAGGCTGAGGGACTGACCACTTGTTCCAGACCATGGAGCTGAACTCTTCTCCAGGCTGAGGGACTGACCACCTTGTTCCAGACCATGGAGCTGAACTCTTCTCCAGGCTGAGGGACTGGCCACCTTGTTCCAGACCATGGAGCTGAACTCTTCTCCAGGCTGAGGGACTGACCACTTGTTCCAGACCTTGGAGCTGAACTCTTCTCCAGGCTGAGGGACTGACCATCTCGATAACTATTTGTCTGAGGGTGATGGACTGATTACATCATCTTCATTTCACTTCTGCACCTGCTGCCTCTGCATTTGACTGAGGAAGCCTACTGTGCAGGCGAAACTGTTCAACAATAGATATCAAACTGTCCAAATTTTATACCGTTTTTAACATATGTAAAGTACCAAGTATAATCCCAAAAATTCAAATGAAGTGACTTATTTCTAGTAAGGTCCTCAAGGAGAGTCCTGATAAAAGGTACAGATGACAACCTGAATCAAAGAAAACGCACACACTTGAATATAGACTCACCAAGACAGGCGTGTTTAACGAGGTTGTCTATGAAGTTCTTCTGTCCTGACCGAGGGATGTGTTCGCCCACCTCCAGGCTCATCACCCAGTCAAAGGGACCTCCGAGGTCGACGGGGCTAGAGAGATCCACTGATTTTATCCTCCCGTTAGTGATCTCGTCAATGTTTGCTGCTGCGTCCCATCCTAATAGTGGACCAGGATTTGAGGAATTAGACACATCTGGGTATCTTTATTTATAACGTTTCGTCACAAAGTGACTTCATCAGTTCAATACAAAGTAGAAATGGGTAAGGAGAGGAGGAGCTTAATGTATTCGGCACCCCCCCCCCCTTTGACCTAAGTTCATTAGTCTTGCTGTGCTGGCTGGGTGAAGGTGCTGATGAGAACAATGTTAAGCGATTCGCTAAATTTGGAAACACCGTGTATCAGCGCTACACATTTAGTTATAGTTACGCCATATAGGTGGTGGAAGAACGGGAAAGGAGCAATAATAAACGGAAGAAGAAGATAAGGAAGTAAAGGCAGAATTAAGGCAGGAGTGAGAGGGAAAGAGGTAGAAAGGTAATGTGACAGGTCGGTCACCTTCCTCTCACCACCACCAACACTACAAACCAACGAACAAATAAAATAATACAGTAAGAAATAACGGGAACAGTGGATATTACTGTTCCACTCCAACACAGTTTTATAAGTCCTTGTACAGTAATATAATTATTAGATTTAGATAAATTGGGATTGTACACAAGCAGTGAGATAAGGAATGTAATTAACTGCCAACACTGAATATAACTTACAATATAAATTCAGTAGGACAGTTCACCACAGGAACCAAGGCAGACTAGCCACAAGTCCCAAGACCTACACAATACAAGTCCAAGCCAGTACTCTGCCCAGAGTACTGGCAGTCTCTCCAGCAGCCCCCTCCCAGATCTCTGCACACAGGCAAGAGCTCTTCCCGAATTTCTTCTCAAGCTGTTTCCTAGATCTTATATCGTGCTCTCTTCACCCCCTAACCTCCAGGTTTTGGGTTCACCCCGAATGAGACAAACACAACGTGTTTTCACACCCAAGGTAAATGTCTCCAGAGTCACCAACCACTCCTTACTGTCGCCGTCAAGAACGAAAGACTTACGGCGCCATGTGTCTTCCAGCATTACTAACACTTCTGAGCCAAGGCAAGGAGTGTGACAATTTACACTGGTTAGTTAGGTCTCCCTTTAACCTCACAAGCACAGTTAACTTACATCACAACAGCATCACCAGCAAAATAGCATCTGCAACAAGGTAGCATCTCCAACACAATAGTATCTGCAACAAGGTAGCATCAACAAGAAAATAGCATCTGCAAAAAGGTAGCATCGTCAACAAAGTAGCATCTGCAATAAGGTAGCATCAACAAGAAAATAGCATCTGCAAAATGTAGTATCTCCAACAAAATAGCAGCTCCAACTGTATCTCACTAGAATCTTGGTTGAGACTACTCACCGTTCCATGACTTGATAACCTGAGGAGCACCTAGAAGTCCAGCCTGGTTCATCTGGCTCAGGTAATCTTTGTTGAGGTCATCAAGCTGCTCCTTGTTTGAGTGGGTCAGCATCCCTGCAGTATTACGCAGGAAGCACCGGCCGTAATGACCCAGACCAGCCCCGAGGTCTGCAACGGAAGACCTTCCAAAGAAGGTCTCCAGACCAGCACACAGCTGCCGAGAGAATTTCAGGTTTCTGTTTTAGTTGATAAATGGGTATCTTTATTCTGGAAACGTGTCGCCACACAATGGCTTCTTCAGTTCAGTGCAAAAAAGAGGTAGAATAAGATGAGGAATCTGAGGTGATCATTCCCTCAGCCTTGAGTCAATGTGTTCAGTACATCAGCCTTGAATATAATGGAGATGGAGATGGAGCTTATAGACTGATGTGAGATGAGATGGAGCAGTGATAGGTGGAGTCACCAGTGAACAAAGCCACTAGTTATCAGTAAGTTTTGTAAGTAGGGGATTAGGGAGATGTTCATACGAGAATCGAAAGAGACGAGAGACCAACAACCGTGTTGTTGATATATATATATATATATATATATATATATATATATATATATATATATATATATATATATATATATATATATATATATATATATATAAAATGTAAAGGAAAAAGCATGACTGTTCCATGCTTACTAGCCCATGTTAGGCAGGTCTAACTCACACACAACCATGTCTATGTACCATATCCCCCCATGCATAGCTGTCTTAACACCCTTACTTTATCTTCCCTCCTCGCTGACAGCCCCACCTTTGATACAGACTCCCTCTTTGACTGACAGCAACAAATTTATTACACAACCTTTGATTATACAGTGGTACTCCGGTGTTCGAACATACCGAACCTCCAATAAACCGGAGTCCGAACGGTTTTCTTCAGAAAAAACTGACCCGCTCTTTGAACGTTTTCTCGGAGTCCGAACGCGCTACCTTGTTTAGAATTCAGCTGTGAAGAATCTTTACATGAAAGCTCTGTTTTAAAAGTTCTTTGAAGTGACCCCTGACACTGACCTGACTTTCACAAGACTTTTGGAAGAGTCAGTTCAATGTTCTCTCTAGTGTGTGAGGTTGATAATTCAAGCCTCCAGATAAATGGTATAAAAATACTGACACGATGGGAAAAATAGATAAATGAAATATAATGTGATCCTTTCTTGGCCACGTTTCGCCCACACAGTGGGCTTTATTAAAACCGGGGAAATACTGCTTCAAACATCGAACTTTCGCAGTTCAAACACCAACATCTTAGGTGAAAGGACACAAGTGCAACTAATGTGACGTTTTTTTGTGGCAACGTTTCGCTTTCCAGGAGCTTTGTCAAGCGAAACGTTGCCACAATAAAATGCCACGTTAGCTGCACTTGTATCTTCTTACCTAACATATTGTCGGTAATTCTACCATCATTATTACTTGTTCAAACACCGGGGTACAAGCATACATCCTTTAGCACTCCTGACTGCCATTACTAAGCTACCCCCGTTACACTCTCCGCCCTCGCTAGTCCCTAATCAAGCATATTAAGTCTTCAGCAAACCCTGCAGAGCTGTGTGTGTACCTTAGTTTTGTTTATAATAATCGTTACCTTGGCGCTCCAAAAGTTATTAAAACCAACAATGAGTTTATCCTTGTCTAGGCAGAACCCGCCAGAAGGCAGCACCAAGTTGGCCTCACAGAAGAGTTTGTCCAGTAGCACCAGCATCCTTTGGTGGCCCTCTTGCAGCTCTCTCTGTGGGAGTCAATAATAATATTAATAATATTAATATTAATCATCTTTATTACAGCAAGTACATGATACAACGTATACAGACATCAATGGCATGCTATATAGAAAACCCCGAGTTATGCAATTTCCTGCAACCTGGGTTGATTTTGCCCCCCAAGGTGCCACCCACACCAGTCCATTAACACCCAGGTACCTACTTATTGCTAGGTGAACAGGGACAGCAGGTGTAAGATGACTAATTCTCATGTACCTACTTACTGCTAGGTGGACAGGGACAGCAGGTGTAAGGAAACGTAGATAACCTTCACCTGTACCGGGGATCGATAATGGGTCCTCAGCACGTGAGCTGAAGGTATTACCAACCCAGCCACGAGCACCCAGCAATCAAGGAACAGTTGTGTTTGGTAGCCATCTGGACTTCGCTAGAGTAAGTAAAGTGTAAAATAAACCCGTAGCAGGTGGTAAAAGAGAAATGAGAGAATGAATTAGAGACAGAGAGGAGAGTTAGTAGAGAGAATTTGCGCTCTGAAGGACAGTTGCCATTCCCAAGATGTGGGTGGTAGTCAAAGTATTACAGAGGCAAATAAAGGGTCTAAGGACTGTATCTCACCATCACAGAGGTACATAATGGGTTCAGGTACTGTACCTCAGCATTACAGAGGTACATAATGGGTCTAGGGACGCTACCTCAGAATTACAAAGGTGCATAATTGATCCAGGGATTGTACCTCAGCATTGCAGAGGTACATAATGGGTTCAGGGACTGTACTTCAGCATTACAGAGGTATATAATGGGTCCAGGGACTGTACTTCAGGATTACAGAGGTACGTAATGGGTCCAGGGACAGTACCTCAAGATCACAGAGGTACGTAATTGGTTCAGGGACTGTACCTCAAGATTACAGAGGTACGTAATGGGTCCAGGGACTGTACCTCAAGATTACAGAGGTACATAATGGGTCCAGGGACTGTACCTCAAGATTACAGAGGTACGTAATTGGTCTAGGGACTGTACCTCAAGATTACAGAGGTACATAATTGGTCTAGGGACTGTACCTCAAGATTACAGAGGTACGTAATTGGTCCAGTGACTGTACCTCAAGATTACAGAGGTACGTAATTGGTCCAGGGACTGTACCTCAAGATTACAGAGGTACGTAATTGGTCCAGGGACTGTACCTCAAGATTACAGAGGTACGTAATTGGTCCAGGGACTGTACCTCAAGATTACAGAGGTACAGAGAACAATTTACAAAGGTAATAAACTACTGCCATATTTATATCTGGTTACAGTTGCAATGAGATATTTTATGCAGAAATTAATTAGATCACCCACACTTAAGAACAGACGGAAGAAATAACAGTTACTGTAAGAGGAACTGATGACAATCTGGAAGTTGTGTTATGAGATTAATAATAGAGTTCCAGTGAAGAGAAGACGTTTGGACTGTTATGACGTTTTTGGGTTTACGGCTTAATTTTGATTGATTGTGGTTATGGACGAGCAGACACAGGTGGGAAGAGGAACTGACTGTGGCTTCCATGGTCCAATGCAGAGAAGAACGGTGGAAGGCGAGGAGGAGTTTGAGGTAATCAATCCCTCAACCTGGAGTCGATGTTCAGTCCATCAATATCGACTCCAGGTTAAGGGACTGATTACCTCAAACTACTACTCCTCCTCTTCCACCTTTCTCTGTATTGGACTGATGAAGCCACTGGCAAAGTATCTCATTTTTATATCATTGTTAAAGTGTGAGAGACGCACAGTAACTCACGAAACCTGGTCACAGACCGGGCCACGGGGGCGTTGACCCCGAAACCCTCTCCAGGTATCTCCAGAAATATTTGTTGATGGACAGTGGCACGAGCATCATGGACAGTGGCACGAGCATCATGGACAGTGCCATGAGCACGATGGACAGGGCCACGAGTATCATGGACAGTGCCACGAGCATCATGGACAGTGCCACGAGCATCATGGACGGTCCAACGAGCATCATGGACAGTGCCACGAGCGTCATGGACAGTTCCACGAGCGTCATGGACAGTGCCACGAGCATCAATAACAGTACCAGGTTGGAGGGAAGTAACTCACCACTTGCTGACGCAGAGTGCCACGAGAATCATGGACAGTGCCACGAGCATCAGTGCCCTGCTGGAGAGAAAACATCTGGAAGACTAGAACAGTAAGCAGCATCAGTGCCACACAGACTGGAACTACGGATGATGTCTTCATCACCCTGGGATGATAATATACTTGGTGAGGGATATTTTTCCAGGGTATACCTATTTTTAATACCTATTTTAGGTATTAAAGAATTATTTGGCTGTGAAATAGGTGTGTACAGCTTTAATGATCCTCGTGTAGTAGATAGGCTTTAAACTCCATTAACCAGCCGACCACCCATCACCATGGACATTCTGTTGGTGAGAGGGAAATGGGTGAGTAATGGGGTGGAAAAGAGAATATTTAAGTCAGAGTATTATCAGTGGGGGACCTATATTTTCGTGGCCCTGAAGCTGGAACCGTTATAGGGGCCCTGAAGCGTGAACTGTTATGGGGGCAATGAAGCTTGAACTGTTATGGGGCCGTGAAGTTAAGACTGTTATGGGGGCCCTGAAGTTGGAACTCTTAATGGTGGTCATGAAGCTGGAACTGCTATGGGACCCTGAAGCTGGAACTGTTATTGGGCCCTGACGCCGGAACTGTTATGAGACCCCTGAAGCTTGAACTGTAATAGGGTCCTTGAAGCTAAGATTGTTATGTATCCAGCCAGGAATATCTTCCAGGTAGGGAGATGTGCCTGGCTGGACACAAGGAAGGAGGAGGACCCAGACAGGTAGGGAGATGTGCCTGGCTGGACACAAGGAGGGAGGAGGACCCAGACAGGTAGGGAGATGTGCCTGGCTGGAAACAAGGAGGGAGGAGGACCCAGACAGGTAGGGAGATGTGCCTGGCTGGACACAAGGAGGGAGGAGGACCCAGACAGGTAGGGAGATGTGCCTAGCAGGACACAAGGAGGGAGGAGGACCCAGACAGGTAGGGAGATGTGCCTGGCTGGACACAAGGAAGGAGGAGGACCCAGACAGGTAGGGCGATGTGCCTGGCTGGACACAAGGAAGGAGGAGGACCCAGACAGGTAGGGAGATGTGCCTGGCTGGACACAAGGAAGGAGGAGGACCCAGACAGGTAGGGAGATGTGCCTGGCTGGACACAAGGAAGGAGGAGGACCCAGACAGGTAGGGAGATGTGCCTGGCTGGACACAAGGAAAGAGGAGGACCCAGACAGGTAGGTAGATGTGCCTGGCTGGACACAAGGAGGGAGGAGGACCCAGACAGGTAGGGAGATGTGCCTGGCTGGACACAAGGAGGTAGGAGGACCCAGACAGGTAGGGAGATGTGCCTGGCTGGACACAAGGAGGGAGGAGGACCCAGACAGGTAGGGAGATGTGCCTGGCTGGACACAAGGAGGGAGGAGGACCCAGACAGGTAGGGTGATGTGCCTGGCTGGACACAAGGAGGGAGGAGGACCCAGACAGGTAGGGAGATGTGCGTGGCTGGACACAAGGAGGGAGGAGGACCCAGACAGGTAAGGAGATGTGCTTGGCTGGACACAAAGAGGGAGAAGGACCCAGACAGGTAGGGTGATGTGTCTGGCTGGACCCAGACAGGTAGGGTGATGTGCCTGGCTGGACACAATGAGGGAGGAGGACCCAGACAGGTAGGGTGATGTGCCTGGCTGGACACAAGGAGGGAGGAGAACCCAGACAGGTAGGGTGATGTACCTGGCTGGACTCAAGGAGGGAGGAGGACCCAGACAGGTAGGGTGATGTGCCTGGCTGGACACAAGGAGGGAGGAGGACCCTGACAGGTAAGGAGATGTGCTTGGCTGGACACAAAGAGGGAGAAGGACCCAGACAGGTAGGGTGATGTGTCTGGCTGGACCCAGACAGGTAGGGTGATGTGCCTGGCTGGACACAATGAGGGAGGAGGACCCAGACAGGTAGGGTGATGTGCCTGGCTGGACACAAGGAGGGAGGAGGACCCAGACAGGTAGGGAGATGTATCTGACTGGACCCAGACAGGTAGGGTGATGTGCCTGGCTGGACACAAGGAGGGAGAACTACCCAGACAGGTAGAGCGATGTGTCTGGCTGGACCCAGACAGGTAGGGTGATGTGCCTGGCTGGACACAAGGAGGGAGGAGGACCCAGACAGGTAGGGTGATGTGTCTAGCTGGACCCAGACAGGTAGGGTGATGTGTCTAGCTGGACCCAGACAGGTAGGGTGATGTGCCTGGCTGGACACAAGGAGGGAGGAGGACCCAGACAGGTAGGGTGATGTGTCTGGCTGGACACAAGGAGGGGGAGGACCCAGACAGGTAAGGTGATGTGCCTGGCTGGACACAAGGAGGGAGGAGGACCCAGATAGGTAGGGAGATGTGCCTGGCTGGACACAAGGAGGTAGGAGGACCCAGACAGGTAGGGAGATGTGCCTGGCTGGACACAAGGAGGGAGGAGGACCCAGACAGGTAGAGAGATGAGCCTGGCTGGACACAAGGAGGGAGGAGGACCCAGACAGGTAGGGTGATGTGCCTGGCTGGACACAAGGAGGGAGGAGGACCCAGACAGGTAGGGAGATGTGCCTGGCTGGACACAAGGAGGGAGGAGGACCCAGACAGGTAGGGAGATGTGCCTGGCTGGACACAAGGAGGGAGGAGGACCCAGACAGGTAAGGAGATGTGCTTGGCTGGACACAAAGAGGGAGAAGGACCCAGACAGGTAGGGTGATGTGTCTGGCTGGACCCAGACAGGCAGGGTGATGTGCCTGGCTGGACACAAGGAGGGGGGAGGACCCAGACAGGCTGGGTGATGTGCCTGGCTTGACACAAGGAGGGAGGAGGACCCAGAAAGGCTGGGTGATGTGCCTGGCTGGACACAAGGAGGGAGGAGGACCCAGACAGGCTGGGTGATGTGCCTGGCTGGACACAAGGAGGGAGGAGGACCCAGACAGGTAGGGTGATGTGCCTGGCTGGACACAAGGAGGGAGGAGGACCCAGACAGGTAAGGTGATATGCCTGGCTGGACACAAGGAGGGAGGAGGACCCAGACAGGTAAGGTGATGTGCCTGGCTGGACACAAGGAGGGAGGAGGACCCAGACAGGTAAGGTGATGTGCCTGGCTGGACACAAGGAGGGAGGAGGACCCAGACAGGTAAGGTGATGTGCCTGGCTGGACACAAGGAGGGAGGAGGACCCAGCAAGGTAGGGAGATGTGCCTGGCTGGACACAAGGAGGGAGGAGGACCCTGACAGGCAGGGTGATGTGCCTGGCTGGACACAAGGAGGGAGGAGGACCCAGACAGGCAGGGTGATGTGCCTGGCTGGACACAAGGAGGGAGGAGGACCCAGACAGGTAGGGAGATGTGCCTGGCTGGACACAAGGAGGGAGGAGGACCCAGACAGGTAGGGAGATGTGCCTGGCTGGACACAAGGAGGGAGGAGGACCCAGACAGGTAGGGAGATGTGCCTGGCTGGACACAAGGAGGGAGGAGGACCCAGACAGGCAGGGTGATGTGCCTGGCTGGACACAAGGAGGGAGGAGGACCCAGACAGGTAGGGAGATGTGCCTGGCTGGACACAAGGAGGGAGGAGGACCCAGACAGGTAGGGAGATGTGCCTGGCTGGACACAAGGAGGGAGGAGGACCCAGACAGGTAGGTAGATGTGCCTGGCTGGACACAACTAACAGTACTACCTTTACGGAAGAGGTTCCTGCCCTCTCTGTTTCTCTTAATCTCTTTCTACCTCCTCCCTTTTCTTTCCATCTTCCGTAGAAGTTGTTGAACGTTCGTCTTACAGAAAAAGGAATCTAGCATAAAGAATATTTAATGCATAAGTGTGAGGGTAAAAAATATCCCGTTGTACCTTGCAGTTTGCTCACGGCTTAGTTTTCCCCTTCATGTTTTTTTTAATTACCGAGGTGCCTGTGGGTACCTCGGAGAGTTTATAGGAAAGTCTTCAGAGATTATAACTTTCCTGGGGATATGAAGTAGTGTTTGTTATTTGAATCTGGTGTAACAGTATTTGTGTTGTGTTTGTTGCTTTTGTTGGATAATTTTTATCTTTGTTTTAGTGGGAGTGACCTACTGCCACACATCACAGAGCGGGAGAGACTCGAACCCACGGCAGGCGAGTAATGGAACTCTCTGGCCAGAGATTTAGAACTAATTTGCGGCGGGATCGATCCCAATTACTATTTCTTGAGTCTTGAGTACTATTACCATCGCATCATGCCGGCCTAATAAGATAGGCCTAGCTTTAGGACTGGTTTGCGTTCCTTCGGAGAGAAAAAGTGTGAAGCCATAGGCAATTATAAACGATAGTTTCCCTTGTTAAAGTCCCTTTTCAAGTCAATGACTTTAAAGTACAGGAAATGTCGCCCTTTGTGGTGTTGTATAGTGTACGTTTTGTGAATGTTATGGTGTTTGTATAGTGTATGTCACACCAAAAGAGTTGTTTGATCCCATTGGTGATCTTCCAGTGAC